ATAAACTGTATTATCACGAACACTCTATTCAAGGCTTTGAAATCAAATAAGTTCCTCTCTTAATCTTTATGCAGTTTTTCGGGGCTGGCTGAGTCTTGAAAGATAGCAGCATTCACAGAACCCACATGGCTTGACAAAGTCACTGTTCAGTGTTTTGGAAATGTATCTTTTGACTGTTGCAAAGGAAATTGGCTACTTAAGATGCCTTTTTGTACATTTAAATTAACTTAGTCCATCAGACTGAATAAATCCTGCCGCTGTATTAACATCCAATTATAACAGCAGAGATTGAGCAATGATTCAGGTTTTGACCAGAATGTTGGCAGTTTAAGGGGGAAAAAAAAAAAAAAAAAAGTAATGTATATTGAAATAAAAAAGTCAAAAATGGGAGCCAGAAAATTATGACTGAGCACATAGCAGGAGCTTTTGTGAATATATAATGGCAGAAGCGGGAGCCAAATTTCTAACAGGATTAGCTGTTAGCATCTATCAGATCCAAAAACCTCAATCATTTTGTTTTAAATGACTTTCTGTAACTCATTCATACTAGAAACGGAGGGGGAAAGAGAGGCTGGGAGATGGAGAAGCTGCAGTTTAGAATTCAGGCTGTATCAGAGGTGAGGATGGCCCCAGTATTGTGTGAAAAGCCCTGAAGTGGTATGTAGCAGGTGAGTCATACAGGAATTTGAAGATTTTTCCAGATTTTTCAAGATGTCCTTGTGAGCCAGAAACTCGGGAATGATTTCTTTGGGGACAGGTGACGGAATGTGTTGATGAAGTGAAGTATCTTTCCAAATCCTGCTGCGGCTACGGCAGCTGGACCTGTTCATTGTTTTCTTGCTGCCCTTGAGAAGGCCATCACATTCACTTACCACTTGTCCAACCCTGGCTCTGGGATTGCGTCTCACTCGGGATAGCTGCGAGTAGGGAACAGTCTAGATGGTGAAGCTGCCTGAGGGATACAGGTCCTGACCTTTTAGTCTTCCCTGTTCAAGAAAGGTGCTAGTGGTGAGGCGAGAAAGGTGCTAGTGGCGAGGCTCCTGGTTCTTTCACGTCCTCCAATACATGGCAGTGATCTTGGAAGTCCTGTGGTGGGCTGGCTGATCTGGCAACGCTGCCTACCTCAGAGATGATCTGTCCCTCTTGTCTGCTATGGACAGAGCCTTGAAAGCACAGCAGGTCCTAGATGTCCATCAGGTGGTGGACAGGGGTCTATAGGAACCTTACCATAATTTCTTCAATTTTTCAATGAACCTACAGTCTATGTTGTACTTAATAAGTTAGTGTTCAATAATCAGGTCTTTCCTGGACGTCTTGCATGAACTTGCTCAGGTGCTTTAAGCCCACATCTTCAAAGACAGCACCTACATCAGCTGCATGAGATAAAATTACATTTTATAAATGAAATCGATAAAATGGGGATATGTACTTCATCACCTATGGGATATAAGCCCTTAAAACAACAACAGTCTCTTCTTACATCCATATATTGCTCTAGCAGAGTGAGGCCAAAATATCAGTTAAGCCGTGACCATTGCATGAATATAAATAACTCTAACCTGGCTCATAGTGCCCCAAAATGAAGGACACCTTGCTTTGGTTAATTCTCTGTCCGCTTAAACCCTGGTTATATTCGCTGCAAAAATGTGGAATCCAAGTTCCACCCTGCTGAAGGATGAGCGGTAGGGAGCCTCGCCGAGGTTGGGAAATGACCTTGAAAAGTTTGTTAGACTTTCCAAGGGTGGAGAAGGGATGGAAGGAGTAATCACAGCCTGGTTTACAATGGAGATTTCAACCTTCAGAGCTGTCTAGTCCCTTCATTGCAGTGAATAATGGCAAGGCACTGTAATTGGAAGGCTGCATGGACTTTTCTTTTTTAGATATTTTAGGGGCAGCATAAAGAACTGACTACTCCCTGGGGGCACGGTCAGTTCTCAAAACTTTCAACTCGGGAAGCTGAGCTGAATTAATTACAGTTTATGTTCCAAAGGAAAATAAGACCTGTGATGTGCCTTATTTGCTTGATGTTCTTTTTCTTTTCAGCTGATGACCCCTAGGTGGCTTTCCTTTCAGTCACAGCTCCTTTGTTTTTTGTAGTTTCTTTCTTTATTAATTAGAAGGTCTGACACTTACAGCCCAAGACATTTATCAGCGTGGTACAATTTTAATTAATCTCACAATAAAGCTACTTGAGGTGAAGTCATAAAAGGTCTCATATAGCGGGAATAACACATAGCAATGCAAATTTTGACACGGGACACCTATTACTCTGTTGTGCTTGACAGGATGTGGGATGTAGCTTGGTGCAAGCTCATACTGCATAGCTGTGCTCTCTGGGCCTCTGACCAAAGCAAGGTGTGGTCCTACACAACATACAAACTACATCTTCCAGAGAACAAGTACCTTAAATGCACTGAAAAGGAAATATTTCTGCAAAGATGAAGATTTGGATTCCCAATAGGTTTCTCCTCTGAATGGAGCTTGGATATCCTTTGACAGCTAATTAAATAATAATAATAATAATAATAATAATAATAATAATAATAATAATAATAATAATAATAATAATAAACCTACAGAGGCTGCTTTTAACCTACTCTTTTTGCAGCAATTTGTGAAGAAATAGCAAATTTCAGTACTCTAGGGCTTTTTCTTGCAATATATCATAGTCACAAGTGGATTCTGACTCAAAACAGTCAAACCCCACACCACTAGACATTGGAAAAGTGCATGTTCTGATCTAAACTTCTCAGCCAAGGCTCACTTTTATAAGACAGATGTAAACTAGTTCAGAAACAGGTTCAGGAGAAGTATCTACATCTAATGAGGATAAATCAAGCAGCACCGTGTGTTAAACTGAGGGTAACATGGATAGGAACTGCACAGCCAATCCCAGCTGTGTTACAAGGTGGAATTACACAACTGATTGCATTCGGATTGAGGAATGTCAGATTCAGTCTTTCAAAACTGAATTATCTGCCTCTTCTGTGAGTACTCTGATGTTTACGACATAGACATGGTCAAAGTAGATGTGTTCAAGGAAAAATAATCCACAATATATATTTTTCTCAGATAGTAATAACAGGTGGAAATGGCCAACATAAGAAATTATAAGGTCTCTACCCCTTGATGTCTTCTTGTAAAAAATTGTATGTCTTTTGGGAAGTTGGATGCAACACAGACTATTGGGTTCAACATGTCTAATTGGATGAAATCCTGGAGCGTACAATTTATATTTGGTGAACAGTTAATACCTTCTTGACCTGAAGCTTAAGGAAGGTGGAACAATTGCATTCATGGCCAAGCCACCTTACCTTTGAAACTTCTTCATAGTTACAGAAGTTTGAATGACTCATTCCCCGTTTTGATCTTCCCATTTTCTTTGCTCTGTCATCTGTCCTGATTATGTTCTTATGCTCATGGCAATAGATTCAATTTGAGAAAGGCATTTTTGTGTTTCCTTTTTTTTTTTTTTTTTCACATTCTCCTTTTCATTAAAAGCTTTCAGTAGCCACAGTTAGTTTCTTTGGGTGACTTGATGCAGGCAATGGTGCAATGGTAAATAAATCCCGTCATATTTCTATCTGAAGTTTTCTAAAGCTACTGCCACCTTCCAGAGGTAAAAATACATATTTTCAGCTTTTGCTCATAGACTATCAACTACCATGCAGGGTATCTCTACAGAGGTTAGGAAGACAATTTCTGATACAAACAGAAAAGGTCTTCATAAATAGCTGGAATGTTGCCTGATATATATTTATATATAAAATCCAGTTCTTGGTTCATTTGCAGATGTGATCAGAATGAATCTTAATCTGTCACTTCAAAGCTCAAACTCTCTTGAATGTTGCACCAAGTAAAAATCGTCACTAGGAACCAGGTGTATTCCCTTGTCATTTGTCACGAGTAACTGTTCTGCAGTTTATAGTTGGCAGTTCTCAGTGGTGTTTCATCAGGATAATACCACAGTATATCATCTGAAGGAATAAACTCTCCCTGCTGACATGAGCTGGGGTGAAGGCACTGGCAATTGACTGTATATTATAGAAGCTCTCTGAAGCTTATTCAGTGGAAAAGAGACTATCAGGTCATTGGGCCCAAATTGTATGTTTGGCTTCAAAAGGAGTAAGGGGCTTATAAAACCTAATGGGAATCAAAAGGCTCTGGTCCGTTAGACAGGAGGTCAGGCTAGGCAGTCCCTTCTGTCTTTGAAATCTCTGGCGGAAATACTTTAATTAAAAAGGAAGAAAGAAAAAGAAAAAAAGATAATAAAATGCAGCATTTTGTCAGTAGATGGGTGTTTCAGGTCCACCTTTAATGCTTTCTGAGCTGCAAAGTCAGCGTGACAGAAAGCTCAGGCTGGTAGCATTTGTCCTTTTCCTGCTGGGAGCAACCTCTGCAGGGATGGGACAACTGATGGTTGGAAAGATGCACGGGCAATGGGGAGTGGAGTTAACACTTTGCTGGGACCAGTGGTGGTGTGGAAGGTCATCAAGGGAGACAAAAACCTCACAAGACCTCAGTTCTCACAGGAAGCCAGAAAGCAACAGGGTCCACAACCAGAGTGTAGGACAGCATTGAGATCTAGTGGGTTTAACTTGCTGCAGAAGATCACATGTTGTTTAATCGCCTCAAGGTACGGGGTCACCACAGCCTGCACACAGCCTGCCTGATTGGCTGATTCCCTGTGAAACTATGCAGGTGAGATCACCTGTCAATGAAGTATGAAGGGGTATGGGGAGGAGGAGAAGGCCATGGGGAGGTGCTGATCTCAACAGGGGTTGAACCGAGTGGAGTGCTGATCTCAACAGGCGTTGCACTGGGTTGAACTCTGAATTATTCTGCAGCCACATCCTTCTGTCTGTCCCTGCCAATCTCTGCAGGGATGTCCCTCTGGGAGGACAGGAAGAGGACGGGGAGGGTGGCACCTTGGTCAAGACATTATGGGTGTAGCAGAGCCCTGTGAAAAGCCTGACAAGTTGTCCCCTTTCCTTCTGCAGCTCACTCGGGTGCCCGTGGAGTCGTGTAGCCAGTACGAGACCTGCAGCGAGTGCTTGGGCTCAGGCGACCCTCACTGTGGATGGTGTGTTCTTCACAACACGTAAGTACCTGCTGGTGTTTCCCAGCTCTGCTTTTCCCCCAACCATCTTCCCTCAACAGCAGTGATAACACATGACAGAGATAAAAAATGCCCTCTCAGTCCCTGGCTGAGCCAGGTGAGCCAATGAGTCACCCAGGTACCTCCAGCAATGTCTCTGAGACTTACTGGGGGAGTTTTTGTTTAACTGAGAAGCGTTTTTTGGAAGACAAGGGACGGGTGGTAACATCTGGTCAGATCTCCTCAACTGCCTGATCCACAGTCTGCTGACTGCACCAAGGAAAGCACTTGTCCACCCTGATGTGTTTTGAATCAAACCCTCCAGCAGCCCTTCTGTGGGTGAGAATTACCCTCTAGTTTCCACTGCTTCAGGCAGCTTGGCTCCAGCTAGCAGCCTGGCTCAGACATGTGTCTCAGAACCAATCAGAACCTCCAAGTTTCCACTGCTGACCTGAATCTCTCCTCTTCCAGACTTGTCATGATCTCCGTTGCCCTTAGAGGGGAATCAGGTCCCTGTAAGCATGATGGGGTCCACTCCAACGTATATTTCAAGGGGATCTTATAGTTTGTTTGCTCACTGTGAGAAAATGTTGACCCTGAAGTTGAGCATTTGACCTGTATGGGTCAGCTCAATTGTGCCGAATGAGTACAAATGAGCCAAACTGCTCATTTGGCTTATCTGTCCAGGACGCTGAGCAAAGTTGCCTGTATCTACCTTCATCAGCTTCTGTATAATGGGCCAAGAGGGGACCTCATTTCGCCATTTCATTACTCTATGGTACTGGCTGATCCAGTGCCTCTCAAGGAGCACTGGATCCAGGTTTCCTCAGGACTGGGAGATTAGTTCATTGGCTTTGTTTTCTGTAGGCCTTTTAATGATGCTATTGATCTTGAAGTTTCCTCTCTGCAGCCCTCACTGCCAGTGATCTCCTCCTGCAGAGAGCCCTCTGCCAAAGCTGTGGAGAGGGAGGTGTCAGGTTGGCTGGGCTCCTGGCTATGAGTGGCAGGGTGGTCTCATTTGCCAAGAACCTCTCAGCAGAGACAGTGGCTGGAAAGTGTCTAACCAAACGTCTCCAGCTGAGCATGGCTCTGCAGGGTGCTGTCACTCCAAGTCTCACGGTGTCCTTGGCAGCGATGGAGGGTTTTTCTGATGGACCCTGCTATTACAGTGTGTCTGTCTCCTGATGAGTTCACCTCTGAATTCTTCCTGTTGCATTGCAAACTTTCCTGGTGGAGACAGTGATCCAGTTGAAGCAACTCTGTTTGCTACATCTCCTTCCTGGAAGAGAAGAAAAGGGAACAAACCTGTACCATATGCCAACCTTCTGTGGATGCTCTTCAGCTTGTGTGATCCTCATCCAAAGCCATGACAATCTGCTTAATTTCAGATCAGATTTAGGTGATCCATCCCAAAACTTGTCCAAAAACTTTACTCAAACTCTGGAATTATTCAAGGGATCCTTGTCAAACCAGTCCTGAGTTTTGGTCTGGTAGGTTGACAATGCTGACGTGGGGATATTTTCAATTTAATACAGCTCTATAGTATATTTCCCTTTTGTCTTATCCTGCATCTATCCTACAGAGTGCTGTGTGTTTTTCTGTCAATGGAGGGAAAGCACAGACTATGTGCAAGCCGTTTAGGAAATCATTGATTTGACTGTCGATTGTACCACGGCAATGCTAGATATTTCATCTCTTGCCGTCCAGGGTCAGTAGCAACAAGCAATCAATACATCCAGCAATAAATCCCCAAAAGGAGAGAAAAGGGGCAGACACAACTGCAGATTACCCAGCAGCTCATCATGAAGGAATGTCAGAAATATGATGACTGGTGACGAGTGAGGGTGACAGCATTGACTCAGTTAGAACAAGAAAACCCCATACAGACTCAGTCCTTCAAGGAGAAGTTTGGCCTCGCTGTCTGGACCTGACTGATGGCAGGATCCCCATGCCCTCCTCCCTCTGGTCACTTAACCCCTGATTCCTTATCTGGAAAAGAGAGGCACCTCTTATTTATGTACCTTGCAGCAGGGTCACTGAGATTGATTCCCTGTGGATTTTTTCGAAGCAGTTGGAAAGCAAATGTTATCAAATCCCACTCCAATCTGTTTCTTCCTCCTAGTTTCCATTGCAGTCAAGAAATCTGATTTCCAGTCCTATCTTGGAAGGGGTTTTCAGTGCAACCCCAGGTGTTCCTCTCTGGGTCTCAGTTTCAGGTAGCCCTGAGAGCAGAGAAGCCAATTACATCCCACTTACCCAGATCTGCAGGGTATTCAGGGTAAGAGTGTCTTGATATTACATCTCTTATTACAACATTTTGCACATCAGAACCCCTTAAAATTCATTAACAGACTTTTCATCAAACGGGATGCAACATCAACAACTCCTGAACAAGGATCTCTGGGGAAATGTGCCCTAAGCATTTCCCCTGGTGTGTGCTAACCCTTCCCTCTTCCCTCCCAGTCAGGGATCCCAGGTGGTTTCCAGTACATGGTTGAATCCAGTCCTGCTGATGGGGGAGCTGTTTTGTGGAAGGGATGAAGGAGGCAGTCGGGTTGTGCAAGACCCGGGGTACAGTGGTACAGGAAACCAGACTACCTGTGGGCAAAGCCATGCCTTTCACTCGTCTTTCTTCTCCAGCATTAACCACCAAGAGGAACAGTGGTAGGCTGGGAATCAGGTGAAAACTGGCAGATTGGGTGCAGCGTGTATCTTTTTCTCTCTCCCACGCGGGTCTCTTTTAATTTACGATTTGCACTTCAAGGGTGGACTCAGACCCTTTACCCAGACCCCCATTTCCAAGGTATCCTCAGCTCCCGCCACGTGAGAGGTCTGGGGACGCCTGGGGACAGCTCTGCATCCGTCGTCTCACGGCAGAGCTGGGCTGTCTGCACGGAGGGCGGTGTGCCAGGGCTCAGGAATCGATTTCCACGGCTCTGCTGTCCTAACCTTACACCGAGAAACTCGAGTCCGCTGAGAGAGAAAGAGACAGACAGACTCACAGACGGCTGCAGGAGAAGGGAGGGGGGAGGATTGATTGGCTTCTGCCCGGAGAAGAGGACAGCCGATACAGAGCGGGTCACTGGAGCTTTTCATCTCAGTATCTTTACCCCCGATCTTGTCCCCCGCCTCCCTTTCCCTGCTGTAGCTCTGCTCCCCTCCTGGGCTCTGTTCAGGCCTCTTTAGGCGGCGATGAATCATTTAGATGGTGTAAATTGAAAATGTGGCGCTCGGTTGCTGCACAGGTCTCCAGGGGAGGGCAAAGGGCCGGGGTGGGAGCTGGGGGGAGGAACCAGGCTGAAAAGCTAATAGCTGGCACGGAGGCACTCGGTGCCTGGCTGCAAGGTCACAGCAATGTCACCAGCCCAAACGGGGGGCTGCAGAGAGAGGGATGAGAACAGGGCAAAGTTTTCTCCAAGCCTGAAATGAATTGCAGCTTCGTCCTATGTCAGATGCAACAGTGTTCAAAGATGCCATCCAATATCTGACCACCCCTCTAAACCCCCCCGAAAGTTTCTTCTGTCTCCATCCATTTCCAAACTATTACCCTCCTCTCCCCCTCACATGCAGAGGGGCAGAGATAGATGAGGCTCTTTTCCCTCAAAGGAGGGATAAACCCTTCTGCAGCCAAACAAGCCCTCGTTATTCCTGCCTGGCCCCACACCAATCCAGAGCAGACATGCAGAAGCACTGGTCCATGTGGTGCATGTGGTGACCACACAAGTTTTCAGCCCTGCACAGTGTCTCTGGGTTGTGCTTAACACCCCAGCTACCAGCAGAAGGGATATTTGGAGCAGAAGAGCAGCATCCTTATAGGGAGAGGCAACACTTTATAAAGGGGAAATATACTGGGTGCAGAAGGGATCTGTCCCAGGCTCCGTTCCATTAGCTGCCACTCCTAGATTTTAGCTGTGCTGCCTCATTTCGTTCTCATGTAGCCTCTGTCTAATTCTGGGATGAATAGTTGAACGTGCACAAGGTTAAGGGAGGATACAGGCTCTAGGCTCCAGCCTCCTGCTTCTGGGATCTGCCCTTGCTGTTATGGGGGCTCCTTGGCCAGCAGACCATAAATTGCAATCACAGAGGCAAATCGTCCCATTTTCTGGGAGGACTCGTGGTATTTCAAAACTTTTTTTTTTTTTTTTTTTTTTTTTTTTTTGTTTTTAATAAGAAATGTTCATGAAAGACATTTTAGAAGGGGATGATACCATTTAGTAATTGGAGAATTATTAATTTAGACCTTGGAAGTTCTCAGTTTGGGATTTTATTTCAGGTTTTTGTAAATTGCTTAAAATTTCAAAGTAAAAAGTCATTCTGGAGTGAAGCATTATTTTTTTTTTTTAATTAAAATGAAACATATAGGCATCTGTGATTTCCTTCTCCCCCAGAAGTCTATACCAGCTCTAGAGACTGAGCAAAACAGACCATCAACAAACACTGTTGGTTTGAGGAACTGACATTTGCTGTGGAGAGAAGAGGGCTTGTGTAAGCATCACCAGTCTGTCCTACTGTAGAGGTGGCAGAACCAGGAGTTGGCTCTGCTCTCTGCACTCCTCTGCTCATCTGTGAGGAGCTGCACGTGTACTTTGTGTGTCCTTCGTGTGTCCTTCTGGCACCCAAGAACCTCATCTGGGGACCCGAACTGGCTCTATTGGCTTTGCAGCCCAGTTTCACCTCAGTTTCAGAGCACGTGCCAGGAGAGACCCTGAACCATGGGAATAAGCTGCAGTGGCCTCCTGTAGACATCCTCACCCCATGAATGAAGCAATGACAGAAGGTTCTTAGATATGAGACATACCAGCCATCTTTCTGGATCCCTTTGGCTCTGGATTAGTCGAGGGATGACCAAAATCTGGTAAACGCGATAAGTCAGGCCGAGTTGACCGTGGATTAACTGGATAGCTGCAGCAGCAGAGATAGTGTTTATGAGACACTTTAGAAGCCATATGAGAATTTTTTGGTTTACCCACAAAAGGACACCCCTGTTCAGAAGGGTTTCATGC